TTTTTTTTTTTTTTTTTTTGTGGGGGGGGGAGCTTCCTTCCCCCATAGGCTGGCCCGCTTTGTGCAGGCGCTTCCTTTAGGGGCATTACGGTGCATGCCTGTCTGAGTTCAAGTTCAAGCTGCAGCAGGGGGAGGCAGGGAGAGTCCGCCCGGTCCTAGCCCGGCATGGGCTGCCAGGGCAGCAAGCCGCGCTGCTGTGGAGCCGCCAGCAAGGTAAAGCCCTGTGCTGCCAAGTCTGCTGGTCCCCGGGATTGCCCCTTCCTGCCAGGACACTTGCCCTGAGGAGCTGGAGGCGAGGGCAGCAGGGCTGCGGGGGGAGCTGCTGGGGGGCAGGCTGCCTGGCTTCAGGGGTCACAGCCCAGGAGCAGGAGGCAGCTAGGTAAAGAGCTGCCTTGGGTTGGTTTGACTTGCCCAGCGCGGCTCTCTGAGCTTCCCAGGGGTCCAGCACCTGCTCGGAGGAAAGGGGCATCGGTTGCTATTGAGAGCACGGGGGAAGTCAAAACTTCCTAGCACCTGCATGCTGGAGGCTGCAAAGGAGAGAGGAGCAGGGCAGGGAATAATCCCTCCCTGTGCCCAGCTCGCTGCCCTTCAGCCTCCGCTCCCTGCTGCCCGGTGATGTGAGACTGGGCCGGACGGACCTGGGTCCAGCCCGGTCCAGGGCAGTCGTGATGTGCTTGTGGCAGGGGAGAGCTGGGCAAGTCTGGCGCTGGCATCTGGGCAGGCACTAATGGGGTATCGTCCCCCTGCCCCTCACGCCTCTGCTTCTTGCAATGGTCCTTCCCTTTGGGGGAGGTCTCCTTGAAGCCCCCAAAGGAGCCGTTCAGAAAGGCTAGCAGCAAATTCCCATGCAGACTGAAATGAGGAGGTCCCCAGCCCCTGCCCTGAGCCGAGCCCTGGCCTTGCGGGAGCCAGCAAGATGTTTTTCAGCTTTGGGCTGGGAAGCGAAGCAGGGCTGCGGGGAGGTGTAACCCCCCAGCCAGCCCCTCCAACCCCTGCCCCTCCATCCTTCCTGCCTCGCCACCTGAACTGCTGA